CCGATTCTGCCTAACACCTCTATTTTACATCGCTCTGGGGTACACTATTTGTTGTCCAGCTAAATGAATTCGCTGACTGCTTTCAGTGGCTGACCATCTGCTGGGACGCGTTGAACGGACTCACTCATGAATAGGTTTTGTAACCTGGTCTTATCCCATTGGATCGACCTGCAAAAGTTCCAGAAGCATTGATTGCTGTTTTAATGCCGTCAGAGTAATTTGGTCTTCTCCAGAACTGATTGACTGAGGGAGGTTTCGTTGTACTTGTTTACAGTCCATCTAATCGATGCTAAGTACTTTCTAAATAATCGATTCGTCTATCACTACTGTCGCGTGTCCAAAATGGACGAGTGTCAACCGTTTTTGAGCGGCCCCAACAAATCCATCAAGCTGACGCTGGCCGACGGAACACGCCGTGTCCAAGGCTACTGCAAAAGTGTGATGTGCAAACGTGAAATGCAGGACATCATCGAGTATATATTTGGCATAATTGAAAGACTTGACGTCAACGTTGCTAGCAAGGCAATTACAACGACAAGCAAATGACAGAACTTGACGGGATGCAGTATATCAGCTACGATGCAACAATTGTTCACGAAGGGAACGGTCACGTGTATCCGCTTGCCCTTCCTCCTCCCCACCCCCTCAACCGTTGAACCTTGACCTGCTCGCTGCAGTCCGAAATGAACGACAGAACAACCGTTTAAAAAATTTATTCGAGAACTAAAAGGTTAAAAATGTATAAACATATTCACAAGATTTTAGAAGCGCACGTTAAAAAGTATGCATATAAATACGTGCAAAAATGATATAAAATGTTTCACTGGTTCCCCATTATTGACTGATCATAGTTTCTCTGACTCGCCCAAAAATCAATCATCAATGCCAGAGAGAGAACAACTGCACTGTGTCACGTGTCCAAAAACCACAGTGAAAGAGCTGGCGCCCTCGATCAGCGTGCGATATCCGCAAAACCATGAGAGCGGAGTGTCCAGGTCACAACAGATAGCGAATGTATTTTTTACGTTTATTTTTAATAAATTACTTAAAAATGCTACATTTTGTTTATTGCACTTGCACTGGAGAAAATAAATGTTTGTCTTGTTTCTTCTGGAACAAAACAACATTGGTTATACTTTTTCCCGATAATAACATTGAATAAACAGCTATGAGGTGGATCAAGTCGAACTGCAACCCTGTGAGACGCTCGCATAAGACAGTAAGGCCGTACTTATCTATTTAGTATAACCACACCAAAACACCATTAAGTCCTTGTTTTTCACAAGTTACAGACTTGATATCCATTTCTGACGTGAGTGTGCCAACTAGCGTGGAACATATTTCTTTCCACAGCAGTAACAATCATCAGATAAGATAAAGATCATGCAGTTCCCCAATTCGAACCAAGCCCGTCCGGATTTGGAAGCTATCCTTTCCTTCACTGGGCTGTCACATCACTTAACAGATTTCGAAGACGCCACTCACTATAGGAGACAACGAGAGATTCAGCAGTATATATTGCAAACATGCGCGTTCAGATTAAGCGTATTTATCGTTTCCGTATGGGTCACTTAAGTAAACTTCGCTGACTGACTGATCATGATTCTTCACGGCTTCAATCAGGTGAAGTATGTCACATTTCCTACGGATTTAAATGGCGACTTTTCACTTCATTAATTTCTCTGCATTCATGATT